CGCCTTAACCACCTGGCCATGCCGGGCCCTTCAAATAAGTGTAACACGTAATGACAAGAGATAAAATATATACATTTATTTTCTAGAATACTCTCTTATACAGCATAACTGTAACACCTTATCGCTTTATGAAAATCCTTCCCATTTTTTCGTTCATAACTAAGCTATTTTTTACTTTAGTGCCTATAAGAAGACTTCTCCCCTTCCTGGTTTGATTTTCCTAATAAAAATTTTTTGTCTACATTTATAAGTAAGAAAGGTTTAATCTTCTTTTCAGAACATAATGTTTTTCTTGATACACAAGAGTTAAGGAAGGCATATTTGGATATTTAAATTCATTCAATTAATTTTGTTCTTGTTTTTAATTTCTCAACTATCATGGATCACCTACACTCCCAGTGGATCAAGATCTGCAATCTGAACTGCTCGATTGATCGAGTCTGTTTCAACAACTTTGACACAAGGCTTTCTTTTCTACCTCCCTCCGCTAGTTCTACTTTGCATATTAAACGTACAAAGTGAAATAAGCATTGCACGAAATTTGAAATTGGTCATAAAGACACACTGAAATATTAGATTACTTTGTCACAAAGTGTTTAACCCAAAGTAAAATATAAATTGACGGTTTGTTTGTTTGCCTGAAGTTAAGCACAAAGCTACACAATGTGCTATCTGTGCTCTGCCCACCACGGGTATCGAAACCCGGTTTCTAGCGTTGTAAGTCAGCAGACATACCGCTGTGCCACTGGGGAGCATAAATTGACGGAAAAATAATCGTTTATTTTTGTGTAAATTATCTAATGTATTTTATCATAGCATTTTAATACTTCTAACATTGTTTAGCAAGTATTGGATCTATTTTAATCTATTTATGTGTTACATATATATATATATATATAGTCAGTAACTCATGTATGCAATATTAGATAAAGTAATAAAATGTGAATATATGAAATATGTTTAGTTTTGTCATTGTTGTCCTCCATTATTCTTTATATTATTCATGCTGAAAATTTATCATTAATACGAACGTTGCCTCGTGACCAAGGAATAAAATACGCCACCCAAATATGGTGACATCACCTAAGGAGAATAGATTTCGTGCGCAGTCTCGTATTTAGTTGCCTTGGCAACCATTACATGTAAATCCAATTTCGATCGACACATAACAGTCGTTTATTGCCAAGGATATCTTTGGCCAGACAGCCTGCCAGTTAGTGGAAGTAGCAGGAAGACGCCTACACTGAACAGGTAGAACCTACCTACCTGATCAAGATTTCATGAAAGCTAGGGGATTATAAAATCCAGGTTTAAGTGTCTATCCATGGATGACATTAATCCTCAGCCTACCAAGAAATCGACCTCAACTCTGCTACTTCCACTTGCCAAAGAAGCTTTCACGTACAAGGAATAGTAGGCCCATCGTCTAGTGTTTTTCACCAGCGTGGGTTTAAATTCCTTTGCATTCTGCGGTGATTGTCTTCGAAAATGGGAACCGTGCTCAGCATCTCCCCCCGAGGCCCGAAGCCTACTTATGGAGAGTACACTCCTAACTATGAACAGATGCATAACGCTAAAAATAAGGAGAAATGTATGGAAAAAACCAACGGTCATTTCAAGAAGCATTCTCTGTTCATCAACGCTCTCACGTGGAAACACATTAGCGTACCAGGTAAGAAAAAAAATGACAAGAACAAAAGCACGACCTCTCGCCACCCACTAGATAACATAGACTCTTTGGTAAACAACAATAAGAACATTCAGAAGTCGTTGTCATGTTACAACTTGAAAAACAGTAACATCGGATCAGTTGATGTTGCTAACAAGAATAACAACAATTTCCAGAAGGTCGTTCCACCTCCTTTACCCCCAAAACCACCCGTGTTATCTGGACATAACCTGGTCCGCCCAGCTCCTCCAGGAGCTCTAACGGTTAACGAACCAAGTGTAACGAGTAGGCCACTCCCGACTCAAGGCGCACACAAGAAGACAGTGATCCAGGCTTCTACCTCAGAGCTCCTGAGATCGTTGGGAGAGTTTTTGTTCAAGAAATGTCGGAAGGTGAAGGACTTTCAGGCTGGAGATGCTGTTATGTGGCTTCGGACAGTAGACCGATCGCTGCTACTCCAAGGCTGGCAGGATATCGCCTTTATCAATCCCGCTAACGTGGTCTTCCTTTATATGCTGATCAGAGAACTGGTAACTGATGACATAGACAGTGAGCAAGAATTACAGGCTATCGTGCTGACCTGTTTGTATCTTTCCTATTCCTACATGGGGAATGAGATTTCCTATCCACTGAAGCCCTTTCTAGTGGAAGAGACGAAGGAGACATTCTGGGATCGTTGTCTTCTGATCATCAATCTGCTCAGTGGTAAGATGTTGCGTATCAATTGCGAGCCCAGCTTCTTCACTGAGGTGTTCACCGAACTAAAGGCTTGCTGTCCGGCGTCTGGCTAACAATGATTGCTTATTAGATGACTTAAACTCAAAAGTATCTACCATTCAAATAAATCTCTAACCCAGAAGAAGAAGAGACTTTCTGGACAGATTACCCACCAGGATCAGAGATTATCTCAGACAGACTAACTTTTTACTGAAGGATCACTGTCCAAACTAGAGCTCTGTTAAACTCCCGGATGACGTAATTTCGCTTTAGATCACCCCTGCTTGTTATTTAAGGTTAGCCGCTTATAGCAATTAAAGACCCACTTCCCTGCCAGTCTCAACGTTAGTGTGGAATTAATCTACACAAGGTAACCTACTTAGTCCTGTGGTTTGCACTGTGATAAATATAAGTTTACAGCATTAGACATTAATCCGAATAAAACGCGTAAAATACAGAAAACTCGATCTGTTTTCAATGTTTTGTAGTTCATTCGAAACTGAAACTGTTATGTTATATAAAGTGTTATGAAATAACAAAATTTCAAATAATTATATAATTATAATAACAGTATGTCTAAAGTTTTATCTTACATATATTTATCTAGTTATATATTGGATAATAAAAGCCAAGTTTAGAATTTATTTTCAAAGAAATCATAAACTTGCAATGTTTTTTTTTTTCACTTGTTATTTTTGGTTTGTATGCTCGTTAAACCTCAAAGCCAAATGTTAGTAACAGAAAGCGTAATTTATTTCAAAGTCAAGTGACATTGAAAATGTTTGTAGCATAGGGTAAGTTATGATATAAACCAGGCATGAGTTTTCTGTTATATATACATATCAACATTAACTTATTTAATGTGTAATATCGAAGAATAACATGTCATTCCAGATAATATAAGATCACTGGTCTTTGGTGGACATACCCAGTCAAAGATAAAATAATAATACGTGTTCTCAAAAACTTGTTCTAGAAGTTACTTGTAAACAAGGTGTATAAAAATGTTCCCTAAAGCTTTTAATGTTTCTTATTAAACACATCCAACAAACGATTAAGGAGGAGTTGGACATAACAAAGGTGTTTTCAAGTTTTTACAAACACCGCCAACCCTAAATTCTTCTAGCAAATTAGGCCTAATTTTTGCAATAAAAAAATAAATACATCTGTTTTCAAGATGAAACTGCGCAAGCGTTTGTTAAAAGTTTCCTAAATAACTTATTGTTAACCAAGATAGGTACAATTATATTGTGACGAATTTGTTTGTTCTTGTGTTGCAAAATTTTATTTTATTATTCGAGCAGAACTGAAGCGTCTTATTTTCTGTGAATATTTTGTTGTTTTTTGAACTTAAAAAGGTACCATGAACAAAAGAAGACTCAAATATCGTTTATCGGAGCTCCAGTAAGCTTGACATGGAAACTATATTATCATGTAATATTTCGTTTAACGATAAACCAAATGCTCACAAAAGTTTGGAACACCAAATATCCAAAGAATCTTCTATCGAACAAATATTTATATATCTACATTTGTAATAGTATCTCAAAGCAGTGAGTGCCATATATAATATATATGTAGTTGTGTTATACACTCAAAGCTTTCTGCTCCAAAACAAAATTACTTTTAATCCAATAGTTACACCTGTGAGATTAAATACCAAGATAAGTTAAATGCATTGGAGTGCTATAAAAAAAAGCCCTAGAAAATTCCTCATTAACATTTTTAAGAATATGCTTTTTTCATATCCATATCTTGAAATTTACTGGTTACATTCATATTTAAGAATTTACTCAAAGAAAAAGTCGTCACGTTCCACCGAAAAAACGCTATATGAAGTAAACCACAATCAGAGCTAATGAATAATGAAATAAAAATATCAACATAGAAAATAAAAAGCCGTGATTAATTCCACGTCAAAAAATATTTATTCCTTTGTTTCACTATTTTCACTTTTATTTTATACGATAGACAAATCCGCATCATATTACAAATAAACGATATTCTAGGCTTAACTTTATCTTAAATCGATAGAAAGTATAATATATGAGTAATAGAAACACGCGAATGCTATATGATAAACAATCTGTTGCAAATAATCAGGTCAAGATCCATCCCTATTTTATAAATGTTTAAGTACTTGATGTTTGTTTCAATATAGAAAATATGGGTCAGCGGTAAGTTCACTGATTTATAATGCTAAAATTCGGGGTTCGAATCACTACAGTGGATAGAATGCAGATAGTCCATTGTATAATTGTGCGCCAAAAACAAACCAAACCTGAACAAGATTCTTTGCTATAGATTCGATACCTATTCTTCACAGTTATATCTCCTAAAACTATCCTCTTGGTGTTGCTTTTGCACTTCACCTAAGAAATAAGTTTACCCCTCAGAGAAGACGAATTGCTGATATTAAAGCCATTTTGTTCAACGTCTAACAGATTTACAATTTATTTTTTCCGACATATGAATTTCTTATTATCTTTTTTTTATCCTTAAATTTCATGTTTGGAACACAATCTTGGTTTACTAAAATGTTCAATGCAAAAACAAAATTGTTTTATTATTGCTGTTTATAAAGTATACTCCTTTTTTGCTGTTTTATTTTTAAATCTTGATTCTTAATTTTGTTTTCTGAAAGGCGATATTGTAACACATACTTAATGTTGAATATGTTTCAATGGTTGAATGCTTACATTCCCTCCACTTTTCGTTACTCTGATAGAGATATCGTAAACTCTATATAATCTAATTCTGATAGGGATATCGTAAACTCTATATAATCTGATTCTGATAGGGATATCGTAAACTCTATATAATCTAATTCTGATAGGGATATCGTAAACTCTATATAATCTAATTCTGAGAGGGATATCGTAAACTCTATATAATCTAATTCTGATAGGGATATCGTAAACTCTATATAATCTAATTCGAAGATGGTTTGTTTGTTTTGTAATTAAGCACAAAGCTACACAATGGGCTA